TATATCCTTTCCGTGGCATGGCAATATCATTCTTACTTAAAAAGGTTACTGGACAAATGTCATTTCCACCATCACCTATGTACACAATTCGTGCATAACTCACTCCCTGTTGTAATTGTTTATCTACAAATTCTACCAGAACTACATTTTTGCAAAGTAGGGCACCTATTGCAAGAATGAGCATGGCAATTTTCTACAGTGAGATGACCATTGCTATTAAAAGCTGCTGGATTTGTAAACATGTTATCAAAGACATCATGAAAATTGGCAGCTTCTAAAACCCAATCTATGAAGACTGAATTTGAGTCTGAAATAATGATGCAGTCAAATTTATCCTTATTAATTCTTATAAAGTTGAAAAGTTCTATCATCCCCGAGGTGAAAGGTATTGATGTCACTGCTCTTTTAATTTCATCTTCTTTTACGCCTTCATCTCCCAAATACTTAAAGACTCTGCCCATGAATTCTGTCCAAAACCCTTTTTGATAAGAATCCTGTAGCTCAACAGGGAGCTTTTTGCCTGGCGCACATTGTATAATCCAAGTGTCACTATTATCATCTATGATTGTATTGTCAAAGTCAAACACCAACAAAACTTTCATGTTCCAGTAATAGATTTGGATTGCCCCAAATTGGTATTTGCATTGCAATTAATCTTACTTCAGCATAGAGCTTAGGTCATTATAATCTTCAGTTTTAAACACCTACCAGTTGCCAGTTGTTTTTAAACATTACTCCATTTCTATACACAGAGAACAAACTGCTCTGATTTGGAGGAAAGGAATGAAGACTTCTTAACTCCAGCATTATTACTGTGGAACATCTGATAGAAAACCTTGCCCGCGAGGAAATGTGTGGGCCGCAGGCACCACGCCGGGGCCTCGCACTCATACAGCTGTGGGTCCACACGAAAGCAGGCGTCGGGACCTGGCCGGGGTGGACACCCGTGAGCGCACAGGAACGCAGGCCATGCCGGGCGACGGCTCCTCACTGACCCAGGACGGGTCAGCAGCCGTTCCCCAGTCTTATAATATTTTAAAGTAAAACATCTTTAAATTAAAATTTTGATATGAAGGAAATTTTTGAATTTTTTCCATTTTTAAGATACAGTCTTGCTGCGCAGCTCAGACTGACCTGATGTTTGCTATGTAGCTCAGGCAGGCCTCAAACTTATGTCAAGCCTCCTGAATACTGAGATTACAAACCTGTACTAGCACAGCTGCCTTGAAAAATCGTTGAACTCCCCAAGTCCCTTTCAGTTAAGTCATTTGAGTGGCTTGGACCGTTTTTGTCCCTGTTGGAAAATTCATAGGGGCATGTTAATATTTGGCCACAGATTCTACAAATTGTATTCTTTTGATCTCATTCCATAATGTTCAGAATATTTTGATAAAACAAACAAAAAAAGAGCCTTTCTGTGACTTTTATTTGCTGAGTAATAAAAAGTACACTAAAAACATTTTCCATAGACGCCTACCTAATATATTTCATACTGAAATCTTGTTCCCTAAGTCACTTGTAATTTTTTTGGAGTAATGCAAGACAACAAATGATCATTTTTGAGTAGATATTATATGAAAACATTAGCTTATGCTCTGCAGGAAATTCAAAGATAATCTGTGGTAATCTGACCTCAGTTTTTTATAATTTTTAGGAGAGCTGTGATAATAAATTTCAATATGCCGTTCTACTTGGTGATCCTTTCTTCTGGGTATTCCCAGCATTGTCTCCTCCCCTCCTACAGTGGCTCAAAGCTGCCAACACAGTGCTATGTACAGAGTGCGATGGGGATGAGGGTTTGGACACTTGGCTAATTCAAAAGTCATCTCAGAGAAGCTTCTGCTTTGGTCTGCTGGCTCACTCGTTCTAGGGGAAGCCAGCTGCCTGTCAAGAACAATAAAAGATCTAAGATTTTTATCCTGCTTACAAACAAGTTACCCTGCCACAGTATCACCAGGGCAGCAAAAGAGAGAGACTACTGGGTCAATGGAAACAATGGCAAACAGAGGATAAGCAAGTGCCAGGTCTTTGAGTCTGGCTTCCTACAGGCCAGAGCAAAGGGGACTGAGGGATGTCTATTCAGGGGGCAACTTGTGTTAAAGGAGTGAACTTTGAGTTTAAGGAATCCAGGATTTTTTAAAAATATATACATATATATATGTATAATGTGCTATAAACTG